TTCATCTCCTCCCCACCTAGAGGACTCTCTTTTCTCTTCTGGGCTCAGAATGTGACCGCCAGCTGGAGGGGCGGGCTAGCGCTGCCGGACGAGCGTTAGCCTCAAACCTGGTTCCGGGGCCCAGGTGTGGTGCCCTGTTTCTCAAGGTCAGACCTAAGCTGGGTGTTGTCGTGGGATGAACGAGGTTGTGGGAGAGGCTCCTGGAGGGGTGTGAGGGATTAGGTGGGCAATCATAAGGGACTTCTAGAAGCTCCATGGAAAGAGGTATTCAGTAGCTGTATATAGGGTCGTAGGCTTTGAGAAGGCAGGATAGTAAAGGGAAACTGGAGCAGGGAGGAAAAATAGGCCAGAGAACTGCCCTGAGCCCCAGGGAGCCTAGCGGCCTTCGATGGGGTACACCCTGGCTCGGCCCCCAGACTCCAACTTACCCAACCCCATCCAGGGCCTGCAGAATTAGGCTCACGGCTGGGCGAGGGCTAGGGCTCCATCAGACGCCCCTGACCGGACCCTGTCTTTGTTGGACGGGAACCACGTCGGCCAGCCTGTTGTTCGCCTCTCTTGTACTTGTTGTGACGGTAGTTATTTATTGGCTCTGGTAGTGGCAGTGCTTAAATAAAGATGATTTCTCAGCGTGCTGGGGCGGCCGGCTCCTGCCGCGCGTGGGTCTTTATCGTCCGGCTAGAGCCCACGGCCTGTCCTGTTCTCTAACCCAGGCTGTGGCTGATGCCTGCCCCCTTCACACGGTCAGCTCCAAGGAAGTCCCAGCCACTGTCCCCTGCTGCGTCGTGCCGGTCTGGGAGGGGGGAGCATGAGGCCGTGGGAGCGTAGGGCGGGCTGCGCAGGCCGGAAGCAGGCCTTGTACCAGCCCACGCTGCCTTCACCTGCCACCGGGCGTAAACGGTGCTCGTGGACGGCACCTCTTCAGGCTTCCCTGGTTGTTAAGACATCTGACAGCAGTGACTCAACGGTACCAAAGGGAAGGCTTCCTCCCGCGGGCACACAGTGACTGACCCCCACCTAGCAAGAGGGTGCCTCTCGTCTCCACTCTCAGCAGCCAGGAGGATGGGAATTCCTACTCCCATTTGACAGCTGCAGTGTCCTCTCCTGCATTCAACAAACATTCGTCGCGGACATACGTGCACAGCGACACACATGCACACAGACAGCCCTGTGAGTGTTCGAGCTCTTCGGTGCAGAGCGGGCAGGGCTCCGTGTCTGGGAGGACGGTGACGAAGGCGAGCAGAGCCCCTGCCCTCAGTGCTCAGGAGCAGCGGCCCAGGCCCACGGGGACCCCCCCCTCCAGGGTGGGGGGGCGGCTCGGGTAGCAGGACAATAGGCTAATTCCTCCCCCCTTGGGAGCACTGGCCAGTCTAGAACCCAAATTTTACTCAGCATGTCCTCGACCCTCCCTCCAGAGGCAGACTCAGAATTCAATGAACTGAACGGAGTTCTTGTCTTTACTGACACATGGGAGGGTTTGGTTTTTATTTCCCCCCTTTCCTGTTCAATCCCTTCACATTCTGAGAGTCAAAATTTACGAGCCCCCAGCACAGAGGGCTGAGAGCCCAGAGCTGCACGTTCTCCCATCCCATGCGACCCTGCCAGCTTGCACTGGGGATCCGACCAGCTCCTTAGCTCCTCGTGGCTCTGGCTCTTCAGCTGGGAAAGGGGGAACTGACCCCTTCCGTCCTCCTCCCTCCCCAGCCACACCACACTGAGTTCATTAGATCAAAGATACTGTTTTATCATCAAGACTAGCAAGCACTCTCCCGCGTGCTTGAGCAAAGTGCCCGGTGCTGCACTGAGGTCCTTGGTGACCTCTGACCCCTCCTGTCCGTTCCCTCACAGCACGCAGCACTCTTCCAGGCACAGCACCGCTCCCATCGGACCCTCCCATTCACGGGGGTCAGCCTGCCTGCTCCACTACGCGGTCGACAGCAGAACCGGGCCCAGAATCCGGGTCTGCTGAAACCCAACCCCTCTGAGCTGGAGAGAATGGGGGAAAGAATGTGTGGAAAATCTAAGATCTTTCCAAAATAAGCTCAGTCGTTAATTGTAAACTACACATGGGCCGAGGTCAGTGGTCCTCCATCTCCACCCTCTAGCAGAATTACCTACAGAACTTCTGAAACACAGAGATGCTTTGAGCGGATTTATATGGATCTGGGACACTGAAAGGGCCTAACAGTATGACTCCCCGGGGGCAGTGAGCACACTCAGCACCCAGACCTTGCCTCCTGAACGCTACTCACCACACTAAAAAGGGAACCAGAAGCCCTTGGAAAAACTGCAGGTTTGGGTTTGGAGAAAACAAAGGCCCGATGTGGATGTGAGATGTCGTGTTCTAGAAAGCAAGGACATGATGCAGGTCAAGCGGGGCCACAGCGGAAGGACAAGAAGAGCTGGCTCAATTGAAGGGCTCCCACCAGCCCAAACTGGAGACAATTTCAGCATCAAATGCAGGACAACAGGCATGGATTATACATGATTTGCTAAAAAAGATAACCCATGGAGATCACACAAATAACAAGGGCAGCTCTTTTACAGAAAAGACGCAGGCTAATGACCAGAGCAGGGCACATTAGCATCGCCATTCTACAGCCCCCGGCAGGCAATACACAAGATCATGAACGGATCCTAAGGCATTAGTGATTATTAGGAATGTCACAAAGTACCCCCCCCAACAAATGACTAATTACAAGAGGAAAAAATATACACCTTTGGAGAGACCTGGCAGTCGGCACCTTAACCAAATCACCACACTTAGCAGGCGCGAGCCAGCCCGACACCAGGTGCCTGAGGCCATGCAGGGAGCACACACCGTCTGTGGTCAAACTGTGGAAGATCTGTTCCTCGGGAACCTAATCATGTGACCATGACGAACCTGGCTCGTGGGTCACTACCCAAGACAACCAGCTTGACTCTTCAGTAAAATCAATGTCATGAACAACAAAATGCAGGTGGTCTCTTGTAAAATAAGACTGAAGAGAAACCATCAAACGTGGTCTGTGAAGCTTCCCTTGATCCTGGATCAACAATGAAAAGGCGCTAAGATTTCAGAAGCCAAGAAGATGAAGTATCGGGGCGCCTGGGTGGCTCAGCGGGTTAAAGCCTCTGCCTTTGGCTCAGGTCATGATCCCAGGGTCCTGGGATCGAGTCCCGCATCAGGCTCTCTGCTTGGCAGGGAGCCTGCTTCCTCCTCTCTCTCTCTGCCTGCCTCTCTGCCTACTTGTGATCTCTGTCAAATAAAATAAATAAAATCTTTAAAAAAAAAAAAAAGAAGATGAAGTATCAACCATACGTTAAGATTAGGGGACTGTTAATTTTCTCAGGTGGGATGGAGACACGGTAGTCCTATAGGAGAACGTCTTTGTTAGCAGACGCATATGTGATTTCGGAGTAAAGGGTCACAAAGTCTGGGACTAACTCGCAAGTGGTTCAGTAAAGTCAGCATCAGTAAAGTCAGATAAACGTAGAAAAACATTCACAATTGGTGAGTTTAAGTAGAGAATCTATGGGTCGTCATCAAATTTTTCTTCCCACTTCTCTATGGGGTTGAAATTATTTTAACTTTTTTTTTTTTTTTAAGATTTATTTATTTGACAGACAGAGATCACAAGGAGGCAGAGAAGCAGGCAGAGAGAGAGGGAAGCAGGCTCCCTGCTGAGCAGAGAGCCGGAAGCGGGACTCCATCCCAGGACCCTGAGATCATGACCTGAGCCAAAGGCAGAGGCTTTAACCCACTGAGGCACCCAGGAGCCCCTATTTTAACTTTTTTAAAAATTAAGCTCTATGCTCAACATGGGGGACCGAAATCACAATCCTGAGATCAAGAGTCGCGCGCTCCGCCGACTGAGCCAGTCACGCACCCTTAAAATTATATTTAACAGTAGACCAACAGACAGCCGTCAGCCATAATTCAAAGTGATCCTATTAGCATCCTTGGAATTGGGGTTCAGGCATCTCATTCTTCAAAAGCTCATCTGGGTTGACTCAGACACACAGCTAGAGAAGACAACCGCTAGCCCAAGTCCTCACGTCCACTGCCACGTGTGCAGCTGGAGGAAAGTGAGGGGGAAGAAATGCTCCAATTCTCTCAGAATTAGCTCAGCTGGTGGCCAAGAGCCTTTGCCCCAACAACCCCACAGGCTGATTAACTCACACAGTCTGAATGGCCTCTGTGGGTCTTGGGACTGATTTCCTATGGAGGTAGAAAGGTCTTAGTTCTTCCTTTGGTGGCCTTGGCGGCTCTAAGAAACCAACACACTTGACTTCTCTAGGAACACACACTTGTGGGCACTGGAAGAGCGAGGAGAGGAGCAGGGAGCAAGTAGAGAAACCGTCGGGGGAAAAGCTACCGGACGGAGAATCCAGTGCTCCGCCAGGAATCAGCTTAACGCTGAACACAGACGGTTTGCCCAGGGAGTACAGAAGGGGCAACTTAAAACATTTAGTGACCGCTAACATACCCAGGTCAGAGGCCTGGGCTCCGCCACACGAGGGCATATGTCTTTCTACAAAGCAATGTGGGCAATGTCCGTTCTGAGAAGTCGGAGGAAAAGGAAAGCTGGACTGATCAGGGGGCCAAACAGTTGGAAGAGATTTTTAACTAAAGAACAGAGAAGGTGAGGTCTGCAAGCAGCTACTGTGAATGATTTTTATTGAAGAGGAGAAAATGGTTTCCACTAGGAAAGCTGTTTACATGTCCTTCTACAAGATTATACTGCTCAGAAGAAGGGACGGAGGCAGAGAGGCGTCAAGTTTTAAGAGATCGTGAATGCAAGCTTGGAAGCCAGAACTCTCTCCAGGAGCAGTGGTGGTGCCTAGGGTTAGGCTTTTTGGGGGCCTCGTGGCAGGAAGATCAGTAAGAGATCCATCTGGAACATTGCCCAGTGCATTCCCATGACGTTGCCCCTCTCCATGTGCCCCACTCTTGGGGCAGTGGAAGCCCTCCCTCCTAGCCAGGCCACAATCAGACCGCCAGATACTCCTTTAAAAAGCTAGCCTGGCTTCCTAAACTGGTCCGGGTTCCTGGACAGCCAGCCTTTCCAGAGGAAGGCTTTGAAGGACTCGAGGCCGTCACTGCCATCCATCAGCCTCAGCCCACTGCCCAGGGCAACGACCAGCAACACGCCACCAACCACTCCACTGGCGATTCCTACTCCCAAGGCTATGGCCACCTTCTTTTCCCACGGTGGGTGCTGAGGCTTAGAACTGTTGTCCAGATTCACTTCCAGACCCTGATCGACTAACTTCTGATTCTCAGTAAGGAACTGATGGAAATTCAGGTTCACCAAGTGAGGGGGAAGGACCCGCAGCCCGAAATAGAGCCTCTTGACAAATTTCAAGTTCCTCAATAGCTGCACATCGCACCGGTATGTCCCAGAGTCGTACTCCTGAATAGACTCAAACTTCACCAAGTGCGAATTGGCCCGGAAGGGTTTGAAGATTTCATCATCAGTTGAGATGATGCCACGAGCCAGCCTCCAGGTGAACCGGAAAGCCTCCTTCCCCACCTGCAGGATGTCTGAACTCAGGCAGCTCAGCTCGAACGCCTTCCCTCTGTGGACGGTGAAGTGGAGCATCCCGCAGACCCAGTTCATCAGACACTCCAAGCGCTGAGACACACACTTCCTTCTCACGCCATCAGGGCCCACCTCGCAGACCGTCTCTTCCTTATAGCCAAGGCCACAGGTGACCGTGCAGGTGGTGGCGTTGACAATAACCCTCCCCACGGCTTGCTGCAGTTTCTTTGGGATGGCCAGTGTTTTCGGTGAAGTCACCACCAAAGGCAGACCAAAGGCCAACACCAGGCTCCCAAGGAGGAAACCAGCGGCCGAGGTCCTCATGTCTCCCCACTGTCAGCCGGCACCCGAGCTGTCCCCGGCGAATCCTCTACATCATCACTCCATTCCTTTGACGCAGGATCTCCCTCAACGTCAGAAGATGGGCTGCACCCGTGGTCAAGGACACACTGTGACTTGATCGACACGGGTCCAGTCCTTACGAACAGGCGAGGCCACAAGGCAGAGGAAAAAGTCACCACGTTGCTGCTTTACTAGCTCTTGCTCGCCTGTGCCCACCTCTCCAGTCTTCATTCTGTCCACGCCCTTACCATGAACTTAAACCCACCCTCTTGGGAAGACAAAGACGAAGAGACTTCAGCTTCTGAAGTGAATGTCCAAATTACTTCGAATGCATTGCGAAGCTACTCCTCCTCACCCCACCCCTCCTCTCCGAACATGGGATCCAAATTAAAGAGCTTCAAAGCCCCAATTAAATCTGACCCAGAAATCAAATACCAGGTCTAAAAAAATAAATAAAAGAGGATTACCTTGCACTAAGTTATTACTGACTTTAAAGGCTCCTAAACTTTCTGTAAAAAAAGGATTAAGAACTCTGGACTGGGAGGCAAGCAAGTGATTGATCCTTCCTGAATTTCTATTTCTATTTTCTCCTTTGTAAATTAAGACCGCCTTGGCTACTTCAGGGGGGGTCACTTTGGGCAATAAATGATAGTACATGAAAACACTTGGTAAAGTGTGAAACTCTGTTCATGGGTAAGGAATTTTAAATAGAAATGAAAATTCACGGAAACAAGGACCAAGCTGCCCCTTTAGAATCTGAATGTTTATGGGCAAGATGGGCAATACCGAATACAGCCCCTCTCCCCATTCTAGACATTCTTCCTTCACAAGGGTGCTGAAGGTATTTTTGGGGGGAGGGGATACATAATCCTGCCCACCTCTTGGCCTACTCCCTTACCTCCACAGAACACAGGAGCCCATCACTCACTTGGGTCACGGTTGCTATGAAACAGCTATGACCTCAAAGACGGATTATTAGGCTCAGAGCAAACCAAACCAAAACTGAGTGGCAGACACTCAGATGTGACAATGATTAAAACCAAAGACTTAAATAGGCTTTATGAGTTTGAAAGTAATTTAATCTAGGGGGGAAAAAGTCAAATAAAGAGGAATTTAACAGTACTTACACTTTAAGGAAGGTCCTTGGAAGGGAGGAATGCCCTCGCATGCGTTTCCCCCAGCTCCGTGGCCTCTACTATGTACTTACACACACCAACGGAGTTAAAGAATTGAGAGAGAGCATTCCTAGATGATCTTTGTGATTTAACACCAACTCTTTGCTTGAATCATTTATTTATAATCTTGTCCAGAGGCAGAACTCTACACTCCCCAAGCACCCCCTACCCATCCCAGGTCTGCATCTCTGCACAGAAAGATCTAACATCAGCACAGTAAACGGGATTTCCTGTCCTACAACTCAGAGGGGCTACTGAGTTTCAGAAGCAGCATCCACAAACGAATATCCACACCTGTTCTTAATAAACATCCGATTTTATTTACAAAGCATTAAAGCTTCAGCAAGAAGTAACCCAAGGCTAAGTCTCCTCTTGTACAAAACTATGGAACATTAAAAAACGAAATGGCGGGGTGGGGGGGTGGGGTCGGAGGGAAGGAATAACAAAAGAGAAGAGAATATGCACATATTGTACAGACGGAGAAAAATCAAACTAGATAGAAAATTTCAGGAGCCGGAAAAAAATTCCGAAAGCATAAATAATTATTAGGAATTGCTGCCAGAGAGCATCCGACAGGGCTGAAGCCCATTTTCTCAGTAGCCAGTTTAGGAGGCGGACGTAGCAGAAACCTCCCAACCTCCCAACGCACGCGCAAGCAGAGGCCGCCAAGCTACTCTGTCCACAGAAGCTAGGCAGAGACCCTCTGTATCACAGAGTTTGTGCAAGATGGAGCTCACGGTGCACAGACACAGAGAAATGGAATGGAAACAATGTTTGCAAAACAAAAAACATGTCCAGTGAGCCACCTGCCAATCTCAACCACTGGTCTGACTTGAAGAAATGAAATCCACAAAAAGAGCATGGGAGGAAAAAAGCGGTGGCGGCTAAAAACACAGGCATTTTGAAACCGACTAGCAGGGAGCTCTTACTTCAACTACTGAATATTCTGGTTCTAAAAGATGGAGCAGGATAAAGAGGCTCTTCCTGATGTAAGTCTACTTTGATTGCTATCCTAAAATCCAAAAAGTAATCCCCTCACGGGGCGGCCCACAGGGGCACTGGCTGCTAGAGGACTCACACAGAGCAGAGCATGGAGACGATCCTCAGTGGACGCCACGACCACAGCCACGATGACCGCTGGGTCAGGCACCTCCGGGCAGCTCAGAGCTCTCTGCAGAGAACCCCCTGCACACCTGGGATCTGGGTTCTCCGAGAATTTCAAACACCTCATGTACTCGTCCATCCAATCTGCTACCTTGTATATAAAGAACAGCAAAAGCAAGAAGCAGAAAGTAAAAAAAAAATTTTAAAAAGCTAAGCGACCTTTCACAGAAAGGAAGAGACTGAAAACATGTCATACGGAGAAGGAGCGGGGATACAAGGGGACACTGTCCCGACTGAAAGGAAGGGACAGAGATCCACACGCAATGATAAAAAACAATTTTTCCTTGATCTTTGATTTGAACTGTGTTGCTGCTGCTTTGATTCTGGACGGTTTGACTTCCGTCCCCGTGGAGATTTCCCCCACCCCAATAAAAAAGCAGCTTGTGGAGAGACACCTCAGGTTGTCTCCCTCTCTGGACGCCAGCACAGGTGAAGCCACATGAACTACTGATGATTCCTTGCTGCGGATGGACGAAACCAGCGCTCTTCGGAAACCATGATTACTGAGAATGAACCACTACCGGAGGAAAACATGCCATGAAAGGAAAACAGAGAAAAACCTCGACCTTCTTACAGCCCAGCTTCTTGAGCAAAATGGGGTATGTTAAGAAGAGGGGGTCTTTCTCATCCTTCTTCCCTTTCCAAAAACTTGAAAGCTTTCGAGCACTTTCCTTTCTGCCCAGCCTCCGTACACAGTAGGGAAATACAGGAGGGTATCTGGTGAGAGAGTTAAGTTCAAAAATGGAAGACAGAATATGCAACAGAAGTTTCTCTAGGATACCGGCAGCAAAACTTCAGATGAGAATTAGTCACTTGAGGACATGCACGGAGGACGGAAGGCAAATAGGATAGGAAATGTCAGGTCAAAAGGATCCTGGGCACAAGAGTTAGAGGAGCAAAACTGGTCTCTTTTCTCCAGCAACATAACTAAGCATTGAAGTTTGAATGAGTCCAAACTCCTGGTGACGCCTTCACAAATCCTCATTCCTGAGAGCCTATGTGGACTTATGTTTGAAGGGGAGGGCCGCGTACTCTTCTTCCATAATTCACTTCTTCATTCAAATAGACGATTCCCTCCTTGCACCTCCTGGGTTGGAGGCAGAGGCCTTTGTTTTAAATTAAAGTCAATCTCAAATGACTGACCACAGTGTCCAGAGGCCACATGATGGCAAAGTGGGGAAGAACGAAGCACTTCAAGCGTCTTCATAACAGTTCTGAGATCGCTCCCCCTGCTAAAGAGAGGAGACACAAAAAGACGTCTTTTAGCATCAACTTGGACCAACAGCGGGCAAGAACAGAAATAATGACGGATGCTGGATGATGCCCGACAAGCACACGTGGGCTAAGAACTCCCCCTTTACGTTAAAACCAACTCAACTCTCATTTACTCTTTACTGAAGCAACAAATAATCCATATTCCAAACCCCCATCGTAGCACTTTCCTCAGGACTGCCCCAAGGGGGGGGAAAGGCAAACTGTTCAGAATTCCACACGTTTTCTAAACTGCTAACCATTCTCCAACATGTCGATAAATGGTTTACAATCCAAGGAGTGCAACAAGGAGAGGAAAGGAAATTCTAGGGTGCTACGTCTCTTCATCTTTCCTGTATTAGCTTAATCAGTCACTAAATAATAATGCGCAACAGGCCCTTTTCCAAGCACCCCTGTGCCTTCGCTGACATTCTCCTCACCTTAGAATCCCAATATGGTGAAATGTTAATGAAACCTACTGCCGGCATTTCTATGCACCAACATCTGAACAATAAATAAAATCCTCAATAGTAAAATCCAATGAACACTTCCCTGATTATTCCATAGAAGCTGTTCAACCTCTGAGGGGACATCCTTAAATGGGCTGCTGTGAAATATTAACTAGGAAGTGTAAGAAGAGAACAAGGTGAAGAAAATCCTCCCAGATGCCATCCGGAATTGGGGGGTGGGGTGGGAACATGCCACTTGGTAGTTATAAAATGAGTAAAAAATAACTGTCCAAGTTATAAAAGAAAAATACCCATTTATAAATATGCTTTTAACCCAACTTTTAAAATAAAAGTTCAAGCACAGATGAAAACTGGCAATAAAAATATATTCCCATTTGCCTGAGGACAAATGAGAAATTAGGAGACATACACTCTTCTAGATGCTACGTTGTTAAAAATCAAATTTAAACTTTATACAGTTCAGTAAGAGAAAAAGTTTCTTCAGCACTTCTTTTTCAGATCTCTCAACATAAAACATAACAACTTCTTGAATTGATTATTTAAAAGAATCCTTGTGGCGGGGGCATCTACTGCGCAGGACGGGGCATCTACTGCGCAGGACGGGGCATCTACTGCGCAGGACGGGGCATCTACTGCGCAGGACGGG